GGGGCAGGAGTCCCGGAGCTGCCGCCTATTCCTGAACCGCAGAAAACTGGCCACTCACTGTCCGAAGGGAGTTCAGACTCCATACACTCGGAAGGGAGTGACCGAAGAAACCCGAGAGGGGAGGACTCCTTTAGGGGAGACCAAGACATTTCTTCAAGAGGAAATCCTGTTAACATGGCCCAAACTTCAAAAGAAAGTGAGCCCAAGGTGACAGTGTCACTCTCTGACCTCATGAAGTTAGTGAGAGAAGAAGTGGCAAAGGAAAGGGAGCTTTGGATGGGGTCTAAAGAGGTTGACAAGGGGACCTTACCAAAAATTCCAGCTCCAAAGAAATGGAGTGATGTGAAAGTAAGAAGGCCCATGAGGAAGTTCCTAGAGGAAGTGGAGGTTTGGTTCGATGCTACTGATATCAAGGGGGCAAGGAGAGTAAAAAATCTACCTACTCTATTAGAAAGCACTGCCTTGGAGTGGTATTTATCAAAAAAGAACAAGACCCCTGATGGCATGGACAAATCTTGGGAAGAAGTTAAAGAGATGTTGTTGGCTAGATTTGTGCCAAAACATCAACACTTCATAGATGGTATTGCCATGGTTCTCTTGAATCAAGGCATGGGAAAAGGATCCCTTAAAACTTATGCTCGTGAATTTCAAGCAAAAATGGTGTCTTGCAAGAAAATGAATGAATACTCCAAGCTAGTTATCTTCTATGCTGGGCTAGAAGAAGCTACAAGGCAGAAGTACTTTGAAAGAGAGAGTGTTCTTGAAACCCTTGATGAAGCATTGGCCTTAGCTGACCAACTTATGGTGGAAAGCTCCTCAAGTGGAGTGAGCCATAGTAGGTGGAAGGAGAAAAGCTCCAACTAAAGCAAGGGCAAATCAAACAAAATTAAAGCCTAAAAAAGGAAATTTGAAGCAGAAGACAACAAGGTCAAGAAAGACCAAGGTGGAAAAGACAAGAGATCTCGCCATGATAATAACACTTGTTATAGATGCCAACAAAGTCAGCACATGGCAAGAGATTGTACAAATGAATCCAAAGCTAATTCTTCAAATGGCCAGAAGATACTGAGTGCTACAAAACAGGTCACACTTATAAAGCCTATTTTGTCTATAGAGCCTAAGGCCAAGTTTGAAGAACCATTTGTGCAATCACTCTTGAAGCAAGGTGTTAAAGTTAAGAAAAGACTTCACCTTGGAGCCATGGCGCTTGAAGGAGGATTTAAGGCAAGATTAAATGTATTAAGTCATCAAAAAGGGTAAGTCTACTTAAGAGGTAAGTAGAAACATACTAACATTTCACTGTTGCTTGACTCAAGAGCCACCAACTCGTTTGTAAGCTCGAGTTGTGCCACACGCTTAGGGTTGAAGATGAAGCCAATTAAAGAAGTGGTGAAGGTGGTATTTGTACAAGAAAGCAGTCTGGCAACACTAATAGTTGCAAGCCTAAGTTTTGAAGTAAGGGACACCCAGGTAGTAGAAGACTTCACAGTGTGTGACCTCAGTGGTGTTGATTTTGTGTTAGGTAATACGTTTCTTGACTTTTATGGAGTTGAGATTAGGAGAAGACCTAGACTAGAAGTTGAGATGGTTGGAACAGATGGAAAGCCAAAAGTCCTACCTCATACAAGAGAACCTAGTTTGGATGGCCTAAGCATCAACTTAGTTAGTCAGGGATAATTAAGTGGTGAAACGTTTTATTTGTTGCTATAAGTATATGCAACAAATAAAGAAAATTTAACACAAAATTCTAAATATCTACCTCAAAATGTGCTGAGTGTACTTGAGAAGTTCAAGGACTTGTTGACTTATGACTTGCCAAAGGAACTGCCACCAAAAAGGATGGTAGATCATAAGATAGACTTGGTGCTAGGTTCAACACCACCTAGCAAGGCCCCTTATAGACTCAAGCAAAGAGAGTTGGAAGAGTTGAAAAGACAACTCACAGCGTTGTTGGCAAAGGGGTATATTAGACCAAGCAAGTCACCATTTGGAGCTCCAGTCCTATTTGTGAGCAAAAAAGATGGTAAGTTTCGAATGTGTGTGGACTACAGAGCTCTCAATAGAATCACTTTGAAAAACAACTATCCCCTGCCAAAGGCAGATGACATGATGGATAGGTTGACAAGAGCCAAGTTCTTTCCAAAGATAGATATTAAGTCAGGTTACTATCAAATAAGAATGGCAGAAGGAGATGTTGAGAAGACAACTCGTAGGACGAGGTATAGATCATATGAGTTCGTGGTAATGCCTTTTGGATTGTGCAATATCCCTACTACATTCACCACTATGTGTCACGGCCATAATCATGTAAGCTAATAATTACATATGGAAATAGGTAGAAGTAAGTAAAAGTAGATAAAAATAAGTTAATTCTATAATATTTAATATAGAAGCTTCCTAGAAACTTCCTAGACGCTGCTTTGACTTCATAGGTATCTTTAATTGACTTTTTGGATTAGAAACGTGGTCAACAAGTTGGCCATGTGCCACACATGTTGTTAGCTTAAAGATCAAGCTAACTATGTGGCCCATACGTAGAAAAACTTGCCTTGTAAGTCAAGGCATGTGTTCTACAAAGTCAACACATATTATAGGTCCTATAGAACATCGCCACGTAGCGTCTAGTTAGATAGTATATATAGAGACAAAAGTGAAGGCTTCTTCACTCTTGTCAACTCTTTTCTTGCTTCTAGTCTAGTTTCAAGGGTCTCTAGTTTTCTTGTCTTTTGGCAAAAGCCATTCCAGTTTTTCTTTTAATATATATACTTGTTTATATATATTTTGTTACCTCTCTTTGAGTGAAGGCTCACTTGTCTAAATTATTTTTTCATCGAGTTCTTGTCCTTGACAGATTGATAAGAGTACACTTACAATATCAGAGCTTTGTTTCTCTTGAGTAAGAGTGGATTACCCCTTTCTCTTGACAAGACATAAGCGTATTAGAAGTTTGCGGATTACCCAATTCTAAACTGATATTGTTCTTAGTATCTTCTTTGTTATCAAGTCTTTCTTTTCTTTTGTCTTGAGCAGTATCAAACAAGTTTTTCTTCTTAGTGTCATTATGGCAGAGCTTGTTGAAATGAAGAGTGCAATGGCACAAATGCAAGAGCAAATGAGGGAGTTAATGCTTGTGATGCATCAACTCAATTCACCAACACAGGAAAGAATAAGAATAGCAGAAAGTGGGGATATAGAGATGATCGGAGCTATTTCAACATCTACAACAAATCACGTTCCTTCTTCAATTGTATAACACCATGTAAGCACTAGAGAACCAAGAATTGCCTTACCCGAGAAATTTGATGGTAGGAGATCAAAGTTTCGAGGGTTCATCAATCAAGTACAATTGGCAATTGAACTTCAATTGCAAAGCTATTCAACTCCACGATCACAAGTCAGGTTTATTGGCATTCTACTTTCTGGTTCTGCATTATCGTGGTTTTCATCTTTTTTTGAACAACGAAATCCAATATTGGATAATTTGGAAGCTTTTTTGGCGGAATTTCGATCCATGTATGGTGAACACGATGCAACTCGTGTTGCAGCAAATAAGATCCGAATTCCACGACAAGAAAATCGCTCTGTAACAGTGTATGCTTCACAATTTTGACAACTTGCAATTGACATCAAGTGGGATGATGCTGCACTCATCAGTAAATTTTTTTATGGATTGCAATACGAAGTAAAGAAATTGATGCTTAACTTACTTGATCCTCAAGTTTTGAGTCAAGCAATCGATTTTGCGGTAAAATATGATAATCAACTTTTCGAATTTCGATCCAAGAATCATTCATGGGAACCTCAACGTTATAATTCAATGGCAACATCAACATCTTTGCCAAATTCGAAAGTAGAAGACATGCAAATTGACGCGGTACATTTTAAACTCCTAACTGAGCAAGAAAAGATTCGTCGTCGTCAAGAAGGATTATGTTTATATTACGGAGAACCTAAGCACACTGCTCAACATTATCCAAAAAAATGACGCGACTATAAAATGAGGGGAACGACGGTCAAAGAAAACAACATGTCGGGAAACGGATT